GGACCAGGGCGGCAGCAGCAAAGGAAGCTGCTCCTTAGGGCGTATCTGGAAAGAGAACGGAGGGGCCATGGTGACGGCGCAGGCCCACCCCACCGCGGGTGCCTCCACGGCAGCCTGGGTCGTCCTGGGCTCGGGCGTGCCGCACGGCAGCGCAAACACCCCGGCCCCAGTGACAAGCAGAGAAAAGCTGTCGTGCCCTACGCCTGTCCACACGCTGTCCAGCCCGTCCACCCTTCCACACGCCTGCAAATGTTGGCAGCTCGGTGCCCTCCGAGGCTGGGCTCTGCAAGAGCCCCACGCAGGCTCCACGGTGGCCGGGGCGGTGCAGGCAGCGTTCCGGGCACCTGGGCGCGGTGCTCTGGCGTGGGGCAGCCGCGAGTGTGCCGGGCCCTGTGTGGCTGTGGCCCAGAGCGACGCTCGAAAGAGTGGGGCCAGGCAGGGACCCGTCCACGTCGGCGGCTGCTGTTGCCACTCACTCCCCTCCACGTGCCTCCACCGTGCCTTTGTTCTGTAGGTGTGCACGTGCCCCACGAAATCGGCATCTTCAGAGACTTGTGTCCTACTTTCCAAAGCCGATGTTCCGTGGCAAGCTCTTCCTTGCCAGCGGCGAGTGCACACTCAGCTGTGAGCAGCAGCAAGCCCAGCTTAAAATGGACAAGGGCTTTGGCGTGGCCCCGTGGAGCCCATCCGTGGCCCACAACGGCAGAGAAGCCGTGGCTCCCGCCCAGTGCCAGCCAGTGCTCCAAGGAGACCAGGAGGGGCCCAACCCAGCATACACACACGTGCCGCCCAGCAGGAAAGCTGTGGGTGGCACACAGCATACCCCTCCACCTGGCTTCAGCAGAAAGGGCACGTCTGAGGCCACCAGCTGTTGAGGGTGGGCGTCACTGGGCTGGGGACCCGCTGCTCTGCACATGTGACTCACACAGCAGCCTTGAGTGAGCAGGTTTCCATGGAAATCCAGCATCCTCCTGTCACATCCCACAGGAGCTCATGGGGCCCTGCCCTCCTCCATGCGGTTTGGGTGGCCCCCGCGAGCCATCCAGGGCCAGCTACAGGACCCATGCCTGACAACTTAGCACCTTCCCCATCTCCAGCCATAGCTGGTTCAGAAATGGGCACACCACAGAAGCTACCTGCCCCAGGGCGTCCCCAAGAGTTACCTGGAAAGATGGCTTTTTTCCACTGTCAAAGGCTGAACTTGTGAGGTGTAGACAGGGAGCAGTGGGTTTTATCCTGCAATTACTCCAGGATAGCCTGAAACCCTCACAGAGGAGCACAGACCCACAGATGGAAAGAGAAACTCCTGGATCCAGCCATGCCTGAAACCATCAGACCTGGTTTCTTTCTCCCTGGACATTCTAGTCATACGGATCAACAAATCTCCCTGTGCTCAAGCCAGTTTGGCCTGGTGTCTGCACTCAGAAGGCTCGACACCAACCAGGGAGTGAGTGCCACGCTAAGTCAACCCGGGGCAGAGAGAGGGCTCTGCCACACAGCACGAGTGGACAGACAGAAAGCCAGGGCCAAGGGTGAGGGGGGAATGTTGGCTCCCAATGTGCAGGTCCACACTGAAGAGTTCATTAAAATGCACTCTCACGTTTTACAGCCCTAGCTCTTCTGTAAAAACTGCCGACAATTCCTGAGCACTTACTTCATGACGTGGGTGAACTAACGCAGTCCTCCCAACAACCACGCAGGTACTGCCACCCGCTGTCTTCTACGGACGGGGAAGCCACCGCAGACAGCGGCTCCACGGCTTCCCGCGCTTCTTACAACATTCCTGACATTTGGTATTGACCTTGCGTCGGCCTCACAGAATCAGTCGGGAGATACTCCCTCCCTTGTAGTTTCTGGACAGGTTTGAATAAGATTGGTGCTATTTCTTCAACTGCTTAGAAGAATTTCTCTGTGAAACCATCTGAACCTAGAATTTTCTTTGTGGGAAGATTTTAAATTATAGATTAAATTTATTTAATTGGTGTAGGACCATCCGGACTTTCTATTTCTTCTAGTATCAGTTTTGGTAAATTGTGTCTCATCTAAAATTTCAAATTTCCTGTCATAAAGTTCTTCATACTGTCTTCCTCTTACCATTTTAGTGCTCGCCGTGTCTGTAGTGATGTCCTTCTTCGTTCCCGATAAAGAAGTGTGTGTTTTCTTTTTTCTCACTCCATCTTTCCAGCAGCTCATCAACTCTATTCATCTCTTCAAAGAACCAGCTTTTGGCTTTGTTGATTTTCTCTGTTTTTTGCTTTGTTCCATTAACTTCCGCACTTTTTTTTATTATGTCCTTTCATCTTTGGTTTTAATTTATTGTTCTTTTTCTAGCTTCCTGAGTTGAATCTTAGAGCATTAATTTTCAACCTCTCTTCTAAAGGTATAAATTTTCCTCCGAGTACTGTTTTAGCAGCTTTTCACAGCATTTCTTAGTCCATATTTTCACTACTGTTCACTTCAAAATACTTTGCAACTTCCATTGTGATTCATTGTTGACCCATTGACCATGTAGAAGTGTGACATTTAATGTCCAGCCGTTTGGAGACTTTCTAGGTAGTCTTTCTGTTGTTGATTTGGTTTTTGTTTGTTTGCTTGCTTGTTTTTTAGACAAGGTCTCTGCTCTGTCACCCCAGCTAGTATGCAGTGGTGTCATCACAACTCACTGCAGCCTCCAACTCCTGGGCTCCAGCGATCCTCCTGCCTCAGCCTCCCGAGTCGCTGGGACCACAGGCAGGCGCCACCTTAGCCCAGCTAATGTCATTGAGTTTTAAAATAATTCAGAGAGAACACATTGTATTATTTCAATCCCTTGACATTTGCTGAGACTTGTTTATGGCCCAGAATATGGTTTATTTTAATAAACATCCTATGTGGATAGGGAAAAAATATGTATTCTACAGCTATTGGGTGAAGTGTTGTATGTATGTGAATTAGGTCAGGTTGGCTAATTCTGTTGTTGAAATGGTGTGAGGTTGGCTCAAGGATAAAGAATAGACGCTACGTTAGAACGGAGTTCAGAAGATCACATGTATGTGATATCTCAACTGATTTCTGTTGAGGACTCTTCTCCCATTCAGTGGAAAAATAACGCATTTCAATACATGATGCTGGGTCAGCCAGAAATCCATATGGAGAAGTGAGCTCTGACCCTACCACACCATGGTAAGAATTAATCTGTGATCCATCATAGATCTAAATGTGAATGCTAGAATAATTAAACTTCTAAGAGAAAACAGGAGAATGTCCTAATGAAAAAGCACTAACCATAAAAGTAAAGATTAATTGGACTCCACTAAGAACAACTCCTACCCATTAAAAGCAGTAAAAGCAAACCAAAGAGTGGAAGAAGATATTTGCAATATCTTCAAATAAATACGAACCCAAGGATCCACCTGCAATACATAGGCATGTGTCAGACCGAGAACACATATCCAGAATATGTAAAGAACCTCTACAAATCAATAAGAAAAAGATAGACAACTCGATTTTTTTTTTTTTTAAAACAGAATCTCGCTATGTTGCCCAGGCTAGAGTGCGGTGGAGTCATCCTAGCTCACAGCAACCTCAAACTCCTGGGCTCAAGCGATCCTTCTCCCTCAGCCTCCCGAGTAGCTGGGACTACAGGCATG